CTCCTCCTCTTCTTCTTCTTCTTCTTCCTCCTCCTCCTCCTCCTCCCCCGCATCCTCCTCCGCATCCTCCGCCTCCTCCCACTCTCCTCTTCTTCCTCCTCCTCTTTCTCCTCCTCCTCCTCCTCCTCCTTCTCCCACTCTCCTCCTCTTCCTTTTCTCTTTCTTCTTTCTCTCCTCCTCCTCCTCCTCCTCCTCCTCCTCCTCCTCGTCGTCCTCCTCCTCCTCCCCCGCATCCTCCTCCGCATCCTCCTCCTCCTCCTCCTCCATCCTCCTCCTCTCTCCTCCTCCTCCTCCTCCTCCTCCTCCTCCTCCTCCTCCTCTCTTCTCTTCCTCCTCCATCTCCTCCTCCTCCTCCTCCTCCTCCTCCTCCTCCTCCCTCCTCCTCCTCCTCCTCCTCCTCCTCCTCTCCTCCTCCTCCTCCTCCTCCTTCCTCCTCCTCCTCCTCCTCCTCCTCCTCCTCCTCCTCCTCCTCCTCTCCGCCTCCTCCTCCTCCTCCTCCTCCTCCTCCTCCTCCTCCTCCTCCTCCTCCTCCTCCTCCTCCTCCTCCTCCTCCTCCTCCTCCTCCTCCTCCTCCTCCTCCTCCTCCTCCCTCCTGTCTCCTTCCCCCTCCTTCCACACATCTTCCGGCCTCCATCTTAATCCTCCACATCGCCGCCCCCTCCTGCACGGCGACGCCTGTCACATGTGAGGCGCACGGTGGCCCCCGCTCCTCGGCGCACGCGCACGCATTCTCACGAACGAAGAGTTCTCCATCCCCTGATTGGGTCCCTCGCCTGCGGCCCCGCCTTGGCCCGAAACACTGGAAACACACATGCCACGCGCGCACGCGCCAGGCGCATCTTGGGTCCACTCCTCCGTGCACATGTAATTTTACGTTTCAAGATCCCCCTGGGGCTGCGTGGACACGCGAAACCACGTGCCCCCTGCGCACGCGCCAGGGGCAGGCATGCTGGCCCCCCCCCCCTCCTCGCACGCACGTTTCGCGGGCCAAGCGTTCTCGCCACGCCCCGAGCTGGGTCCCTCGCATGCGGCCCCCTCGTGTTGAGCAGGGACCGACCGTCCCGGCATTCCTATAGTCATACCACGAAATGTTCTTGGAACCCAAAAATGTTCGAAGAAAAAGCAATGTTTTTAGAACATAAACCCGATGTGTTAAAACAAGACAGTCCCAGCCAGAAATGTTCTAAGAACATCTCGTGGGAACCACAAGAGGTTCTTAGAACATTGTTTGGTGGGGCTATAGGCGAGCCGGGACGCTTCGCCACTGCTTGATCGTGGCCCGAGCCGCGTGAGAACGCGTGCCCCGCGCGCACGCGCCGGGCGGCTCTTTCCTGCAGAGCCGCTGGCCGCACTGCCGCCCCCCCCCCCGGGGCCCGGCGAGGAGGGCCCCCGGCAGACCGAGGGCGGCCCAGAGCACACCCCGCCGTGGCTTCTGCCCCTCGTGGCACGGAGGGGGCCGGGGCCCCTGGCCTCGTCGCAGGTGCTCCCAGGCATCTCGGGGGCGCGCAAGCACGGAGTAGCGCTCCCCCCAAAGTGCGGCCAGTGCCGCCTCGCTCGGCGGCGGAGAGAGATCCGCGATGTCTCAGGGAAGCGGGACCCGTCGCCGATCCACGCCCCCGCGATCCATGCCTGCGATCGCCTGAGCATCCGACGTCGTGAGGTTCTCCAGACGGCTTCCCCGGAAGCCCGGACCTTCCCCCCGGGGCCGGCTCTCCGTCCCGAGTCGTTTTGTCCCTGCGAGGCTCCCCAGAGGCCGACGAGTGCGAAGAACCGGCGTCTCGGGCTTCTCGAGACGTGGGAGGTCTGGGTTCGCGGGGCTCGCGGCGTCACGGACCACATGCGAGCGGCGATCCAAAACGGGTCCTAATTGCGCGAGATGGCACAGCGACCCTGCGCGGCGGCTTGCGCGGGCCGCCGGCGCGGCACACGACGCTGGAAACGAGAGCGCTCACGCGCGAGCTTGCGCGGGCAGCTTGCGCGCCAGCGTCGGCGAGGACGGCCCCGTGTTTGACGACGTTGGCGCACGTGCTCTCGGAGACCGTTGGACCTCGCCGTCGCTCGGGCGCCCATGCCCCGCGCATGTCTCGGTGCCGTGCGCTCGCTTTGCCCGCAAGAGGGTCCGAGCTGCTCCTCGGCGGTCCTCGTCGCGAAACAGCGCCACACGCCCGAGCGGTGCCCACGCGCATTGGCCCATGCGGACAGGCGGGCAGCCTCACCTTCGGGCGCACCCCGACTGGGCAGGCATCCACGGCGGCGGGCGCGGCAGGGCTCCCCGGGAGGGCCAGGGCTGGCCCGACCCGCGAGCGGCTCCTCACCGGGGCGGCCGCTCGATGCTGTGGCCAGCGTGGGCCCCGAGCAGCAAGGCTCTTTCGCTCCTGCTCCTCCTCGCTCCTCGCTCCTCGCTCCTCCTCCTCCTCCTCCTCCTCCTCCTCCTCCCTCCTCCTCCTCCTCCTCCTCCTCCTCCTCCTCCTCCTCCTCGCTACTCGCTCCTCGCTCCCCTCGCTTCTCCTTCGCTCCGTGCTCCTCCTCCTCCACCTCCTCCTCCTCCTCCACCTCCTCCTCCTCCTCCCCCGATGCGCGAGCGATGTGGCGCAAGCTGCGTGGTATCAGCTGCGTCGTGCAGCAGGAGCGCTTCAAGCTGGAGGCGGCAGCGGGCGGCAGCGTGGCGAGACCTCGCGGGGCCCACCCAGCGCACGAGAGGCGGTCACGAAGAAGCTGCCACGAGGCGGCAGTGCAAGCACCATCGGCAGACGAAGAAAGCGCGGCATCAACATAAACTCTTGGCGCTCCGCGCGGATTTCCTGGATCTGCGCTGGACCCCACTCCCTGGCACGCGGAGCGCGCCAGGGGCGGCGCTGGAGGCGCCGCCGGGGGGGCCCCCAGCGCGGATCCAAGAAATCCGCGCGGAGCGCCAAAAGTTTATGTCTATGGCGTTCTTTCTTTTCTTCGACTTCGGGGAACCACAACCCGGCCTCGTCGTACACCATGAACTGGACCCCCGCGAAGGGCATGATCTTCCACAGCGTCGCGGTGTGCCCGCGCCACAGGCCCTCGATGCCGGCCTCGCGCGCCACGCCGTGGGCCAGGGTGACCGCGCCGCGCACGCTGAAGGACACCTGCGGGACTCCCCGTGGTCCTGCCGCTGCAGCCCCCTGCTTCATCCCGGGGGCCTCCCGGGTGGGGCCCGAGCAGGTGGAACCGGAGGATCGCGCCGCACCGCCGATGCATCGCCGACGCACTGGCCGCCGACCCGATGCATCGGCGGTGCATCGGCGACGTCGGCGATGCGTCGCCGCCGTCGGCGCGGAGACAATCGGGCTCCGAGGCTCCACATGAAGCCGCATCGCCGGTGCATCGGCGATGCGGCGCGATCCTCCAGCCTCATCTGTTCGGACACCATCTGGGAAGCCTGCATCCTCATGGTTTTCATCCTCCAGTTCCTCCAGCTCTTCGTTTCGCGTCCCTCCCCCCTCGTCCGTCATACCTCCTCCTCCTCCTCCTCCTCCTCCTCCTCCTCCTCCTCCTCCTCCTCCTCCTCATCCTCCTCCTCCCCCTCCCCCTCCTCCCCATTTCTGCTCCTCACTATCCGCCTCTATGTCCTCTCTTCCCTTATTTCCGACATCCGCTGTCGCCCTTGCGCGCGTGCATTGCGCAATGTGATGTCGTGACGCCGATGGCTCATGACGACCCAGGGGGGCCTGCACCGAGCAGCCTTCAGGGGTCTGCGTCAACAAAAGCGCCTACCTCTACCAGCGCAGTGGCCTCGGCATAGAAGGCCGAGCTCACGCCCCAGAGCCTCCGCACAGCTCGTCCTACTTCGACTGTCCCGGAGCCCTCAATGCCATACACCACCATGCCCATCGCAGCAGCCGATCCACAGCCGCGTACCCCTCCGTCGATGTGTACCTTTAGCCTGCGGGGTCGCGAGACTCGGTGTCGGAAACTGCGTGGGTCGATGTCGAAATTCTGACCGGTGTCCATTACCAAAATTACCATGTAACCCGCTGTGGTGTTCAACTACCAGGGCGACCAAATGATGAAAGGTTCGACATCTCGTCGCAGGTCCCATCCAGTATTCCACCAGCACTCGAGCAGGCAATAGATTCGTCAAAAATCCGCCACCGTGCCGGTGGGCAAGGAGTGGGCGTCTCCTCAGGTCCTTTGCCTAATCCCCTAAGCACTCCTGAAGAGTTTTTCAGGGGCCTCGACCCCCAATTTCGAAATCTACCGGGGCTCCCCGCGCGCCCTCTAGGCTCCAGCACATCGTTCCGTGTCGCATGATTTGCTGCTAGCACAAGAGGGCCCCAAGACGGGCCAAGAGGGCCCCGCGAGGCCCCGAAGACGGTCCAAAAGTGCCCCGAATCACCGAAAGATCGTTCCAAGACGCCCAGGATGGCCTCAAGATGGCCGAAGAGGCCTCCAAGTCACCCCAAGAGATCTTCAAGAGGCTTCCCAAGAGGGCCCCAAGAGGCAAACGTCATTGATTTGCCTCAAGTGTTTGGCGAATTTTGGCGTTCTCGCTTTTTCCGTTTTCCGACGTTCCAGCACGGCCCAAGAGGCTCCCAAGACCGCCCCAAGACGGCCCAGGAGGCGTCCAAGAGGGCTCGAAGGCGGCCCGAGAGCGCCCCAGCGACGGCCCGAGGGCCCAATGGGCGCCCAAGACAGCGCAAGAGGGCCCCGAGACGCCCCGAGACGCCCCGAGAAGCCGCCCCAAGAGGGCCAAACGAGGCCCTAAGGGGCCTCAGGACGGCCCCCAAGAGGCCTCAAAACTGCCTCCAGGAGGCCCCCCCAAGAAGACCCCCACGAGATCCCAACGAACATCAACTAGGCGTCACACCCACAGTCCAAGCACGGTAGCGGGATGGGCAGAAGGCCGTCACATAGTTTCCAAACTGCGGGCGTGTAGGACGGCCTCCCCGTTTACCATGCAAGCTACCAAACTGTCGATATGAAACCAAACTCGTTTGCGACAGTCGCCCCACACTTGTCGTCGCCAGGATGGACAGGAAGATCGGGAGCGTCACTCGGCCCTGCTCGAAACCCCACGGCGGAGACACCGCCAGGGCGCGTGGAACGAAAATGTGGTAGAGGGAACACGCGCTCTGGACGAAAACACCAGAATGCTTCATCCACTCAGCCTCGGAGAACTCGCGGGCTCGCATTGACCGCCAGTCTGTCCCCAATATGCTGCGAAGGGGGGCTTCCCAAGCCGTTCGGCGCTACTGCAGATTGTTGGCCATGTTCTCTCCGAGCCGCTTCCACTGTGCACCCAGAGTCGACGCGGTACCCCAGCGTGGCTGACCCCTAAAATCTCGGGCCCACGATAGCGCAATGCCTTGGCTAACGGGGCCCGTTGCGCATTCGCCCCAGACGGCCGCGTGAAAGGCGCGCATGCGGCGCGAGAAAAAAATCGATGCCCGCGCAAATTAACCGCTGTCAGATTTGTTTCGCCGATCGCCGGTTGAACTCCATGGCGCCTTCCGCCGGCCCACGGCGAAGCCGAAGCATTTGGCAGACTCGCCCAAACTCCCACGCGAAGGACGACATCCGAATAACGCCAGGGCGGCCGGGGAGGTCGCCCAAGCCCTGGCTCTCGACAGGACGGGCTCCCGAGCTTTAGATAATTTCGCGCTCAAAAAATATTCCGCCCCCAACAGTCTGTCGGAACCGCGCGTTCGCCATAGAACGCCCCCCCCCCCCCCAGTCGAACAATTCCCCCAACGGAACCACCCCACCGACGACGTCGCAGATGTGGCGGGCGCGTCCTTGCACGAAAGTAAACTCGCATTGAAAATTGGCACGCGGATCCCCCCGCTTGCAACGCCTCCAACGACCGCGCCTTCCAACGCAGATCATGCGACTGAAATTGAAAGGCACTGCAATTTATCATGCAGCGCAGGCTCACCGGTTCGGCGGCGGAGAGCACGGCGCTGTCGAACCACGCCGCGTGGGCCACGTGAAACGCACGGTCTCCGAAATTCAATTCGAAGCCGAACCGCTGTGTTGTGCACCGTTGTGCGATGCCATGCTTTGCGTTGCTATGCTTCGTGATGCAATGTTTCACTACGCAATGCCACGCCATGCTGTGACATGCTATGCTCTGCCGTGCTCCTCCACACCATGCTTTTACATCCATCGCGTACCCTCTTGGGATCATTGCCCTGCTCGACATCCGACTGTGCGGATAGATAGGAGATCTACGCCATGGTGATGGATGGGAGGGAGGGGTAGGACGTCAAATGTGACGCTAGCGCACCTAGCTTGTCCCCCCCCCCCTCCTCCGCCTGCCTCCTCCTCCACCTGCTCCTCCTCCTCCTCCTCCTCCTTCTCCTGATCCTCCTTCTCTTCTTCCACCTCCTCCTCCTGATCCTCCTCCTTTCCTCCTCCTCCTCCTCCTCCTCCTCCTCTTCCTCCTCTTCTTCCTCATCCTCCTCCTTCCTGCCTCTGTGGTCCCTCTAAATCCAGGCTGCTGACCTCGGCTGGCCGATCAGCCTAGATGTCTATTGTCCTGCTCCTGCTGTACGGCCTCCTGCCCGGAGGCAGCATGTTTTTATTTCTGGCCCTGCCACACAGCCATGCAACTACATCTTCAGGGCCCAGAACTTCCCGACAGTTCTCATGTGCCTCCTTCTTGATCGTATTCCTCCTCCCTCTTTCTTCTCCCACTCCTGCTACTTGTATCAGCATTGGACAGCCACAGAGGGCGTTTCGCTAGTTCCCCCTCCCCAGAAGACGCACATGTGCACTGTAGGCTCGGTGTGAGTTCACGTTGCTCCAGTCAGGCATGCACTCGAATAAGCCTACGTCCCAACCCAACCACCCATCAACAGGGGCGGAGGGGCACGAGGAGCACGAGAGGCCCGGAAAAAAAAACGCTCGATCGCCGTTCCCCACTGAACTCGTCCTCCTCCGAAGGGGCCTTGGGGTCCAGCTGGTACAGCAGCCGGATGCGATCCAGCGGCGCGGCCACCGTTTTGGCGCCCGCGCCCGCGGTGGCGCCGCAGACGAACAGCTCGATGCGGCTGAGCCGCTGAGGGTAGGGACGACGGGGGCGACGACGACGACGACGCCGACGCCGCCGCCGCCGACGACGACGACGACGACGACGCCGACGACGCCGACGACGCCGACGACGACGACGACGCCGACGACGCCGACGACGACGACGACGACGAGGAGCGCCGACGCCCTCACCCAGGAGCCCAAGGAAGGGCCCTCCGTCGGGTAGGAGCCTCCCTGCCCCTTCTCGTCCTCCTCCTCGTCCTTCCCCCGTTGAAGAAGACTGCTTGCAACCCAGCCTGGGTAGACGATGCCATGCTCGAATACGACTCGCGGTCAGAGTGAATAGTTACATCTCGGATGCCAGTGCAGCAGCCAGGCCCACACCCAGTGAGTTGTAGGCGCTCACCTCCCTCGAAGGAGCCTCCCTTCTCCCTCCTCCTCCTCCCTCCCTCCCTCCCTCCTCCCTTCTCCTCCTCCTCCTCCTCCTCCGCCTCCTCCTCCTCCTCCTCCGCCTCCTCCTCCTCCTCCCCCTCCTCCTCCTCCTTCCCCGCCCCTGTCTCACCCCGAGGCCGGTCGAACGGGCGGGCCGGGCGTTTCGCCTGAGACTTCCTCACCATTTCTGATCCTGAAGCTGAAAATCTACCACAGTTTCACGGATCGAGGGCGGCCCGCTTTCAAAATGTGGTTCTCGCCTGAGCGCCGCGCACATTCGTCGCAAAAGATTGCAACAGCTTCACGGATGGAGGGCGGCTCCTTTTCAAAATGTTGCTCTCGCCTTAGCGCCGCGCACACTCGTCTTAAGAATTTGCAGCAGCTTCAACGATGTTTGATGGTTGACGTCCCAAACATGGTGCTTTGGCACGATGCCGGAATGTCAAGGCACAACAGTCACGGGGATTCGCGGTGCTCAAATCCCAGGAATGGTGTTCTGGCACGATTCAGGATCGTCGGGACGCAAAAGTAAGTGTGATCCGAAGACCTAGGGGTGGTGTTCTAGTACAGTTCCGGATGTTCAAACGATTGTCTTCCAATGAGGCGCTCCCTCAGTGATAATAAATCCTTGTATGGGCCTATGAAGAGGGAACTTGGATGGAGGGTTGACTGCAACATCGTACATGAGTCTTGGGTTTGCACTGGTCCTCTTCCTCCTCCTCCTCCTCCTCCTCCTCCTCCTCCTCCTCCTCTCCTCCTCCTCCCTCCTCCTCCTCCTCCTCTCCTCCTCCTCCACCTCCTCCTCCTCCTCCTCCTCCTCCTCCTCCTCCTCCTCCTCCTCCTCTCCCCTCCTCCTCCTCCTCCTCCCCTCTCCTCCTCCTCCTCCTCCTCCTCCTCCTCCTCCTCCTCCTCCTCCTCCTCCCCTCCTCCTCCTCCTCCTCCTCCTCCTCCTCCTCCTCCTCCTCCTCCTCCTCCTCCTCCTCCTCCTCCTCCTCCTCCTCCTCCTCCTCTCCCCTCCCTCCTCCTCCTCCTCCTTCCTCCTCTTCGGTCCTCCCCCGCTTCCTGCCACCTGCCACCCCCCAAGGGCTGGGAGCCATCACGGCTGGATTCGCCATGAATTCCTGGCTGGGGCGCGCACAAGGACAGGCCGAGGCGGAGGAGGATGAAGGGGGGGGCCTCCAGTGGCTGCGAAAAGAATGGAAAACTCTCCTTCCTCCATCCTCCTCCTCCTCCTCCTCCTTCTCCTCCTCCTCCCCTCCTCCTCCTCCTTCGCTCCTCCTCCCCCTCCTCCTCCTCCCTCCTCCTCCTCCTCCTCCGCCTCCTCCTCCTCCTCCGCCTCCTCATGCGCCTCCTCCTCCTCCTCCTCCTCCTCCTTCTCCTCCTCCTTCTCTTCCTCCTCATCGTCTTGCTCCTCGTCCTCCTCCTCGTCCTCCTCCTTCTCCTCCTTCTCCTCCTCCTCATCTTCCCCCGCCTCCACACCAAGGCTGGGAGCGGAAGGGGGCTCTCCATGGCTCCCGAACATGGAACAGCCACAAGGAAGTCAGAGGAGATTGGCTGATCTCCGTCATGGATGACCCCCGATCCCTGCGCCCGAGCTCGTCGGAACCTAGGGGCGGTGGTCGCGCAACTGCGCCTGAATACACCACAGGATCAGCAATGACCCAGCCGATTCCTGAAGCACGTCTTCGCCCATGCCGATGCACTGTAGCACGCGCCGGGTGGCTTGTGAGCTCGAGGGGTCATGGACCGCGAAGGGGGTCGAGTCGAGTCGAGTCTGGCTCGCCTCACCCTCCTTCTGCCCCTGGGAACACATGATGGGCCTGTTTTCCACCACCACCACCACCACCACCACCAGAAGATGGAGGGGGGAGGAGGTGAAGGACAAGGAGGAGGAGGACGAGGAGGAGGAGGAGGAGGAGAAGGAGGAGGAGGAGGAGGAGGAGGAGAAGGAGGAGGAGGAGAAGGAGAAGGAGGAGGAGGAGGACCCCCTCGCCCTCCAACTTATGGTGGTGGTGGTGGAAAACAGGCCCATCAAATACAAGCGTCGTAGGCACAAACATTCTGGAGGTCCGCGCGGAGTTCTCGAGTCCTGGCCCTGGCGCGCAGTTCGCGCCAGCGGGATCCAGCGCCGGCCCGCTAAAAATCCGCATGGACATCGGAAGGCGTATGGCCAGTACGTTATTGGCTGCTCTTCCGGAGGAGCACGTACCCCTGCCCTGGGGCTGGCTTGCATGCAGGGCTTGGGGTGCGGTCGGAACTCTTTTTTGAGGGGGGGAGGAGGAGGAGGAGGAGGAGGAGGAGGAGGAGGAGGAGGAGGAGGAGGAGGAGGAGGAGGAGGACTAGGAGGAGAGGAGAGGAGGAAGAGGAGGAGGAAGGAACGCGACCACAGAACGTCACCTGCCTCGGCCTCGACCGCCGTGCGAAATCAAAAGGTCGCCAGGCAAACCGGGAACAAAACAAGAGCCGACCTGCACTAGGCAAACTCATGCAAGGGGTGCGAGGTCAGAACTTACACGACCAGAGCTGGGGGTGCGACGCCACACCTTGTACGCATCCACCACCCAGGGAGCCGATGACCCCAGACTGCCCGCAACCACTCTGAACTGGGCCTTGGGCACATGGAGGCCCGACATGGTACATAATTGCCACCCTCCTCCCTCCTCCTCCTCCTCCTCCTCCTCCTTCTCCTCCTCCTCCTCCTCCTCCTCCTCCTCCTCCTCCTCCTCCTCCGCCTCCTCCGCCTCCTCCATCTCCTCCGCCTCCTCCTCCTCCTCCTCCTCCGCCGCCGCCGCCGCCGCCGGACATATGGACACGCGCGGTCAGCACAAATTTATGCCCCTATTGCCTGGTCACTTTCAGCTGCGTGAAGACGGCCCAGAGACATTTGCTCGCTACAGTTTCTCGTGGAGGCCGATGTAATGACCAGTCGAGGTTTTTCGGAGGACGAATGCATCCAGACAGAGTGGACTGTCACCTCTGTGATCATAGGGCTCAAACGTTTGAAGAGCTGCAGGAACACATCAGAACACACCTGCCTCCCCTGGACTGTTTGGCGGACACAGCTGCTCAGCGGGGTCATGGCTCTCAAGTTCGGCGACCCCACGTGGGGCCTGAAGAGGGCAGGAGATGGAGGCGACACCAAGGGCCAGAAGAAGACCCGCCTCCTCTCGGACCTGCTGGGCGGCGACGCGAAGGAGGTCAACACCGTGAGCAAATTACTGATCGTGCTTACCAAGTTGGCGCTCACCAACGCCGCAGAAATTCGAGAAATCACGGGGATGCTCTGGGTCACGCTCCTCATAGGCGCCGACTCCCCCGTGGTCAAGTCCATGATGCAGCAGGGCAGGGACTATCACGAGACCGCGAAGTCGCTGAAGGACGACCCCGTGAAGCAGGAGGAGCTCGGCCCGCCCTTCATCCACATCTTCGCGGCAATGCTCCGCGGACTGGGCGAGTACGACGACATCGAGAAGCGCGACGCCGAGATCCTCACTCAATTCTATATGGAGAAGATCGCTGGGCACAATGCAAGGCGGGCGACCTGCTGGGCAAAGTACTATATTGCAAATGCAAGATGGCCAAGCAGAAGCAAGGCAAATCAGAGATGGCCAAAATATCCCTCGCGATGCACCAGAGCTACGACGAGCTGCAGAGCGTGTGCGTCCGCATATTGCTGGCCCACCAGGCGATCCAGAAACACGGTCCGCCCCCGCGCGGCCCTCTCGAGAGGGCCGCCCAGAGCCTGCTCGAGGAGCTCGAGGCAGGGTCCTCCAAGAAGGGGAAGGGCAAGAAGGAGTAGAGATCGGTCGTCCCAAAGTGAGATTGACGCACGTACAGAGAGTACAGATAGCGACGGCTTCAGAGAGACTGTTGGAATTGGTGGAGAGAGGATATGTTCCAGTTGAAGCAGCTATCAGACAGGCAGTGAATACAGCAACGGTGATTCAGCCACCACGAGCCCGACCGAAGAGAGGAGGGAGGGGGACGGGAAGTGCTCCGAGCAACCCTGAGGCCCCACACCCTCCGCCTAGTTCTTGAACTTTTTCTAGCTTCTGTGCCCTCGTCCACCCTCGAACTTCGTCCCTGGCCCTCGGTCTCTTTCCTCGGTGCTTTTCCTTCTGTTTGTCGGGCCTCGGTGGCTCGGTCGTTTGTGTTTCGCCCTTGGGCGTTCGAGGGTGGACAAAAAACTTTTTAACAGGGGGTTGACCCTGTGACATGCAGGTGCGAGGCGGCCTCTCAGTCTTCCACAAATGAGAGTGCCGCAGATCGCCAGAACAGACCTCCTGCCAGCACGGCAGGACTGCAAAGTCCCCTGATGGGTCCTCAGGGCTGAGTAGCAAGCAGATTGTAGTTGTAAACTGATGCGAATGTATCAGGAGTGGCCCAGGCCTCTCACGAGTGGACAATCTGACTTAATGCCCCCAGAGCTCGATTCGATTCGATTCCTCCCTCCTCCCTCCTCCTCCTCCTCCTTGTCCTCCTCCTCCTCCTCCTCCTCCTCCTCCTCCTCCTCCTCCTCCGCCGCCGCCGCCGCCGCCGCCGCCGCCGCCGCCGCCGCCGCCCTCCGCCGCGCTGCAGTGGGTCCCGGGGGCATCGGCTCCCTGGGCGGTGGGCGTGCACAGGCTCCGGCCTCGCACGGAGGCGGGGCTGGCGCCCCCCCCTTCGTCCCCCCCCCGCTGGGGCGGCGCGGACGAGGCCTCCGCGGGAGCGTGCGCAGGGAGCGCCATGCCGGCGCCCCGCTCGGCGCCACGGGCGCCCACAGCTGCCCCGCGACGCCCGCGCCTGCCATGGCGGCGCCGCCGGGGCGGCGCGGGGCGCCGCGGGCAAGACGGCTGACTGCAGCTGCCGGAATGGAGGGGACGGGTCCCGATCGGGTGTCGGAGGCGAAGCGAAGTCTGGACGCCTCAGAGCCTCAGAGTATGCTGCACATTCGGGAATCCCACACGATTCGGACGACGACGGCGACGACGACAACGACGACGACACGAGCACAGAAGGGAAAACAAACGACGAGGCGACAGGGGAGAGGACACTGCCAGGGCGGCGAAGCGCGCTGGGCTCTCGCGCCGCGTGTGCTGGCATCCCTGCCTGCGCTCGGCTGGACGCGGGGAGGGGGTGGGAAAATCCTCCTCCCCTGCTGTTCTTATTCTTCTTCTTATTATTATCATTATTAATAGTAGTAGTATTACTAAGATTGATATTAGTAGTATTATTATTAGTAGTAGTATTAGCATTAGCATTAGTATTAGTATTAGTATTAGTATTAGTATTAGTATTAGTATTAGTATTAGTATTACTATTACTATTACTATTACTATTAGTATTAGTATTAGTATTAGTATTAGTATTAGTACTAGTACTAGTATTAGTACTAGTACTAGTAGCATTAAGATTATTATTCTCATTATTATTATTATTAGTCATATTATCCTTATTAGTATTCTTCTTCTTATTATTATTAGTATTCTTCTTCGCATTCTTATTATTGTTATTCTTATTCATATTATTATTCTTAGTGTTCTTCCTCCTCCTCCTCCTCCTCCTCCTCATCATCATCATCATCATCCTCCCCCTCCTCAGCAGCAGCATCATCATCATCATCATCATCATCATCATCATCACCATCATCATCATGATCATCATCATCATCATCATCATCATCATCATCATCATCATCAGCATGATCATCATCATCATCATCATCATCATCATCATGATCATCATCATCATCATCATCATCATCATCATTACCATCATCATCATCATCATCATCCTCATCATCATCATCATCATCTCCATGATCATCATCATCTTCATCCTCATCCTCATCATCAACATCAGCACCAGCATCAGCATCAGCATCAGCAGCACCATCATCAGCAGCATCGTGATCATCATCATCATCATCATCATCAGCATCATCACCACCACCAGCATCATCATCACCACCATCAGCATCATCAGCATCATTTATCATCACCATCATCGTCATCATCATCAGCAGCTTCATCATCATCAGCATCAGCAGCATCATCATGATCAGCATCATCATCAGCATCATCATGAGCATCAGCATCAGCATCACCATCATCATTATCAGCATCAGGCTCAGTATCATCAGCATCATCATCATCATCATCATCATGATCCTCGTCGTCTTCCTCCTCCTCGTCATCCTCCTCCTCATCATCATCAGCATCGACATCAGCATCAGCACCCTCCTACTCCTCATCATCAGCAGCAGCATCATTGTCAACCTCAGATTCATCAACCTCATTGTCATCTACATCATCGTCATCGACAGCATCATCATCATCATCATCATCATCATCATCATCATCAGCATCATCAGCATCATCATCACCGCCACCATCATCATCATCATCATCAGCACTTGCATCATCATCATCGTCAGCAGCAGCAGCATAGTCGTCATCAGCATCAGATGCATCTTGATCATCATCAGCAGCATCATCATTAGTATAGTCCTCATTGTCATCATCATCATCATCATCATCATCATCATCATCAACATCATCAGCATCATCGGCAGCAGCAGCATCATCGTCAGCATCGTCATCATCGTCATCATCATCAGCACAATCATCAGCATCATCATCAGCATCAACAGCAGCAGCATTGGCAGCGTCACAATCAGCATTAGCATAACCACCATCATCATCAGCATAATCATCGTCAGCAGTATCAGCATCGTTATCAGCATCCTCATCATCAGCAGCATCAGCATAACTATAATCATCATCATCACCATCATCATCATCAGAATCAGCATAATCATCAGCATAATCATCAGCATCATCATCGTCGACACCGACATCCTCATCATTAGCATCAGCATCGTCAGCGGGATCAGCATAATCACCATCATCAGAATCAGCATCATCAGCAGCAACATCATCATAATCATGTTCACCCGCATCCACAATGTTACCGCAATCAGCATCATCAACAACATCGTCATGATCATCAGCATCCTCATCATCATCGTCAACTTGCAACTGTCAATCAATAACCAGCAATCAGAATCAGAATCATCATCACCGCCACCATCATCATCGCTATCAACATCACCGTCACCATCATCATCACCAGCATCATCAGCAGCAGCAACATCACCATCATCATGAGCACCACCATCATCATCAGCAGCAGCATCATCATCAGCAGCATCATCATCACCATCATCGTACACCTCAGCAGCATGGTCATCATCATCATCATCATCAGCAGCAGCAGCAGCATCAGCATCATCCTCATCTCATCATCAGCATATTCATGCTCATCTTCCTCCTCCTCGTCATCATCATCAATATCTACAGCATTGCCAGCATCATCATCCTCATCATCATCGTCATCATCAGCACCATCGTCATCGGCATCGTCATCATCAGCAGCAGCATCATCATCATCAGTTGCAGCATCATCATCAGCATCATCATCAGCAGCATCATCATAATCAGCATCAGTATCATCATCAATATCATCATCATCACCATCACCATCACCATCATCATCATCATCATCATCATCATCATCATCATCAGC